AGGAATAGTAAGAATAAAATACTTTTGTTATGGTGTGAATGCCTTTTACAAACTGGTAAAGCATGATTACAGTTATATTTGTCATAAGAGTTTAGTTATTACATTTTTAAACAGTAGTATTTAAAAACAAGATAGACCTAACACTAATATCTTATGACAAGTATAATTAAATACTTTGTTTTTCTCATTGTAACTACTTGTACTGTGCGAGATGGTTCACAGATTTAAATATGATTGATTCTAACCTCAACCAATGAAAGTCATAAGCAAAAGATCAGACCTTAAACTTATGTAGGATTTTATATGAGAATTTTTGCTTGTTCAAAATGCAATTTCTAAACAATTGACTCCCAATTTTAATGTTTAAAAAATTCAAAGTAAAAAAGGATTGAATTATAAAAAGCATATGGTTGGAATAATTATAATGGACCCCAGCCAAATAGTGGCTAAAGTCTATTAAGTATGCAAATACTTTTTTCTTAAATCTGCATTTTAGTTAGCAAGGTGAATCACAGGAAATGAAATAAATTGTTTTTACTTGACTATTGGAATATACGTGTCATTTGATTGTATTGAATAGATTTACAAATAATTTCTCTTGAGGTGCAGTTTGGCAACTTGTTAGATGTTTATTATGAAAACAATAGAGAAACCAGTAATTGGCATTTTCATTTTACTTCATTTTTTATACATGTAGCTATTTCCATTTAAGAAAAACTTCAGAAAAATGTGTTTATCTGAATATTTTCTAAAATTAACTTTTGTACACTATATTAGAAACAACTGTTTATGCTAAGATTACGAACTGATACTTCTAGATAGCTAAAAGTGAATTCTTGGAAGAAACTTCAGAAATGACTTCATTTAAAGATGACAGCGTGTAAGAAAACCTATGCATATAGTAAATTTCTTAGATTTTTGTTGTACATTAGTTACATACCTCAGGTTAGTTATCTGTCAGAAAACTGATGCTCAAAACTAGTTTAATAAGCATGAGACCAACTTCAAAATAAACAAGTATTTATTTTTTAATGTTTCATCACATTCCTGTATGGCTTTACATGCAACAGTCAAACATTTATATGTATTTTGTAACATGATTTTCTATCATTTTGATGACAGTAGGAATCTGCTAAGAGTAGCTGAAATTTCTTAATAGTGATTTACTTTAAATAACAAAGGAATAAGGTTTTAAAGAAAATAATTTTATTTATATTTTAAAGCTTGGCTATGTGTATGTTGCTTGGTGCACATTTTTGTGATTGAAAATGTTTATCTGTAGTCATTTCTATTTTTATGTAATTTTCAGAATTAATCATTATTGTTAATTCCTGAACAAGTTTATTAATCAGTTTAGTCACTTGAAAACATCCCAAGATTTTTTATTGTTTAAAATCCATTTTTTGCTCAATAGAAAAAAAATTAAGTACTTACAAAGACAAAAAATATCAGACAGTATACAAAATCTCCCAGTACCATGATAATATAAAAATGGATGTCGTTTAGCCTCAAGTAATAACATTTATGTTTTTTTTCAATATGAATAGATTCTGACCTATTGACACTTGTAAACTGGTCATATCTAGGTTTGTGTATTTATTTTCTTAAAAACATTCATCTAAGCCATGTTATAATAAAAAGTTACTCAAGCAGTTATAATTGCACTTGATTTCTAAGGTAGTTTTTTATTTTTAAATGAGAATCTTTTCTATCCCACATAAGGTGTTCTGTAGATTTAAACAAAACAACTTAAAATGTGACTAATAACATTGTGCAATCTAGTAATATGTAGAGTTCGGCAAATGCTTTAACTATTAATCTTTGTAAATTAGAAATACATTTTAATTTCTTTGTTAACAGTAAAAGTGAGAGACTAATGGAATATTAATGATTCCACACAAGTTGAGTTATCAGACAAGTGAAAATTTAAGCAGACGGTCTTTCTTACAGAACAGAAATATTGAAATAATTGTAATAATAATACATTCCTAGGAATAAATTTTGATTGTTGTTAAGCACAAAATAGGTTATATGTGCTCTGCTGAGAATGAGTATCTATACTCAATTTTTAGCATTATAAGCCCTCAGGCCTAATCCCGGCCATAACTTAATATTTTAAAAGCCGAAAATGCAGTGTATTTTATAACTTTTACTGTTATTTTAAGTAAAATATTGTGGTTAGTAAAAATGCACCAAAGTATTTTTACAGCAGTATCTCAGGATTACACAAGAACTATATCACACCCTTATGTGAAGGAACACAAAAGAAAAGCATTAAATACTGATTAGTTGCTTAACATATATTAGTGGTATAATTAAATAATGCATAAGGAAAAGAAACACAGAACATGAAGTACATTGTGGTATTATTCACAGTTTCTAGCTCTGTTTCTTGCTTTAATTCTATACCAGTTGTTATACCTAATCTTTTATGATGGAATATGTAAAGATTTACTGCAGCCGTAAAATGTTTCTCAGAAAACTAGATACTTTATACAAAGTAAAGTTACTAAGAACTGATACCATATGCTTTAACTACTTACCATATTGATGAAGATGATTAATTATGAAAAAAAAAAAGAAAAGCTTGACCATATCAAGATTTAAGTACAGAAACCATTTATCCCACTTACACACACACACACACACACACACAAGTACCGAAATACTTTAGTCATACACATGTAGTTACAGAACTTGATTGTAAAACTAATACTGAATAAGATACTTTTCTCAGTGCATCATCTCAGGGTCAGTTGATTATAAAGAATGTGATCAGTAGAATGTTATCAAAATTGTGTTTAGATAGCTTAGCTAAGTTTTTTCTTCTTGATAAACAAAAAGCCTTGCCATACATACATAATGTATCTTTATTAGATATCCTTTTGTTTAATTAAATGCATAGCATTTGAAGAAAATTCTACAGTTCCAGGGTGTTTGATGACTTTAAAGGGCTTTGGGTAGAAACTTTCAGGTTTCCTGAAGTGTTTTGATGTATATTTAAATACCAAAATCCTGCAAAATATTGAGAAACATTCAGCTGACTGTCCAGATGTACAGTTGTTAGATAGATGAGAAGAACCAATAGAAAAAGAACTCCTTACAGTGATTTTGTCATGAGAAATGTAAGAATTCTTGCTGTTATGTCAGGCCAAGGCACAAATATTTCTGTGTGTGTGTGTGTGTGTGTGTATAAAATTTTATATTGTGACTTCTGAATTGCTTCAAAAGAGGTATAAACTTTTGTTAGCATTCTTGAAAGAAAATAATTACATAAAGTTGTAAAAACTCATTTTGATTTATGTATGCTATGTAGGTGAATTGAACACTTCTTAGTAGTGACTCTCAGTGATGAATAATTTTGGAATCCTAGGTTAATTCTACCTTCATTTGTTGGCATTCTTTTGTTCATGTTAATTAATATACGAATGAACAAGTTCCATACACTGTACTTTTTAACTAACAAATATATCTACCTTACTACAAAATGTCAAACTGGCTTGAAATATCTACATGAACAAAGTCATGACTCAGAAGGAGCAGATCTGCCAGTTCAATTGTTCTCCAACATTAATACTGTCATAAAAAAGCAGTATTTAATGATGCTAGATATTTCTAGCTTGTATCCAATTTATTTTTTTCTTCTACCTCCTACTGTACTTTCTAATTTTTATTTTAAATGTCAATAACAGAAAAACGCCTTGTAAACATGTTCAAAGCATTAAAGATCACAGAAAAGAAAAAGCATCACGTAAAATCTCATGCTTAAGTTTTTGTTTTTATTGCTTTTCATTTTAATATGGTCAAACTCTCATGGCTTTTTTTTTAAATTGTTAAGTACATATAAACTGATTTTTGAATATAGATATTGTAAAACAAATTTACCAATGTATTTATTTATTTTTGATAACTTGCAGCAAAAACCAAATTTTTGTTTTGCTTTTTTTTAATATAAAAATATGTTATGGTTCAGATTATTAAGCAGTTAAGCATTAGTTAGCTTCAAAACATTAAAATACAGAATTTTTTTCCTTTTTTTTTTTTTTTGCCTGATCACAAAAAAAACAACATGTATCTTACCCTTTGTTCTCCTGAAGAAGAATAGTCAACTATTCGAAAGCTCTAGAGTTTTGGGTCTTGTTTTAAATCTATTACACTTTATATGTGATCCTTTGTGCTAACTCTTTTATAAAAAAAAACGTATATATATACATATATCTCTTTATACCCCTTTTCCTTTTTTCCATATCATAAATATTATCAACTACTATGAAAAGATACACCTGATTCTACACCTTGCTTGCTGTGAGTTATTAGTAAGAAAAAAAATATTTCAGCATTAAAATGAATGGCACACAGGAATTTGTAGGACTTTATAGTAAAAAAAATAATTTTGATATGCTATTCAGTGTTTATATGCAATAATTCACTGTGTAGTTTTTGATCATAAAAATGTCTATAAGACTCGTTGAATAGGAATAAAAGAGTATCTGTTTGCTTCTGTGGTTTTTATCCCATGTATAACAGGGGCGCCCCCTCCCAAAAAAAATGCATGCAATATGATGCTTGAAAAGTGCACTTTTGTTTCTTGAGCCCCTGCCCTTTTAACATCCTTTGCATATTACTGATTTAGAAAATGAGTTTGAAAATGCTGTCTAAATGTGTAGTGCTAGCTAGATAAATTTTATAGCACAAAATCAGAGCCAATGGTACTATATATTTAAAAAATGGCTACCAAATTGGCCTTGATGGATTCAGTTTAGCTTTTTTGATTGTTATACATTTTTTGTCAATTTCATTGTATTATACTTGTAGAAGAAATCAGAGCTTTATGTTGGTCCTGAACTATAATATATTAGTTTTAATGAATTACACAATATTTCTCTTTACAGATGTGACCTGGCATGACAAACTGTACACTACTTTATCTTGTCTGTTGATTGTAGAAGATTTCAAAGTACATGTATTAATATCTTTTTCTTTGCTGGTAATCCTAACAGGGTCGTGGTTCATACTCTTACCGTGGAAGATCATCACAAGGGTCCGAATGTAATCCAGGAGGTAGTTGTGACATCAGGGATTATGCCAACCTATCCATGCTCCAAAACCCTTGGCAGGAGCTTGAACAGCTGCAAAAATCTTCAACAGATCACAAGCTGGGAGGTACAAACACAAGTTGACTATAATTATTAATGATCGACATTTTGTTTCATAAAATGAATTTAAGGAAAATGTTAATGATGTGTCAATCTCATGTGAAAAAACTATGAATTGAAGAGGTTACTTGTATTGCATAATGAACTACAGTCATTTCTTCATTTGTTAAAATAAAAGATACATATAGGACAATACTGAAAGAAAGCAAAGATATAGATACATGGCTCTAACATGTATAAATGTATATACTTTGTCATTCTTCATAATAGAATCAACCAAAAGACTTAGTTTTATTTAATTATTTCTAAAAGAAAAATTGTAATACTCTGTTAAATGCCAATCAGCAGAGAAGAGCTCTTTCAAAACAGATAAAACATCAGACATAGTTCCCTAAGTGAACAAAGTTACATATAGGGCAAATACTTCAAAGTCTTTTCTAACATATGCTTCTCTTTACTTTAGAAATAAAAGTAATGTAGGTCCATTCTTTTCCAAAGCTTTTATGCCCATTTTTATGTAAACTACAAGATAACCAATATATTGCAGAACGAAAAATCTAATAAATAGTTCCATGACCAGCATGCTACAATCCATAACATATCAAGTAAAATATTGAAATAGTAGTAAATTCTTCAAAGTTCTTTGGTGAATGTAAGGATGCAATACCTTCTTGTACCAATCCTTAACAAGTATATTATGAGAAACCTAGACATCTAATATCTACAAAATCAAAATTATGATTTTTTTTTAAACTGGCTATGAAACTGTAAGTGACTTTAATGTTACCACAATAACTCTGTCAAGATATGAGCAGTCATTTACAAAACTAGAAAAACTTTGGGAAAATATTTTATTAATTATTATAAAAAAATCAGAATAAACCAGCTCAAAATTTTGGTTTTTAGTTAAAAAGCAAAAAATAAACAAATCTGTGACAAAAAATGGAGTAAGCAATAGGATCAAGAGCATTCTCACCTGATAATGCCTTAGCTAGAATCACACAGATATCACAGGTCTTGTTTCAGTCATTTTCTGAAAAAAAAAATCAATTCAAGTTTTAGTACCTATCAGTATAACATATTTATAACCATGTTTTACTATTGTTGTTAATTTTACTCGGATTGTTTTACAAATATGCTAATCATACTTTTCTTGTTTTCTCTTTAACATTTTTTTGTACTTGAAAACCCAGCAGGAGAAACACAATCATCTACATACTGTTAATTTTACAGAAGGGTTTATGAATAACAAAATGATAAAGATGTATGCACAATACATTTATCATATTTTATGCAAAACAAAAGCTAGATAAACTTAAATGTGTAATACAGCAGTCAGTAACTTTAGAAACAATTTTTTTAAAGAAACTTTGCACGTGTTTTGAAGGTTTGTAGGTTGATGTATATATGTGATTTTGGGGGAAATGATTTGTCACTCTATGATCTTTCTTTGACAGAATTGTGTATGCAGTTTAATTCATTACACATTTTATAAAACTCAAACTAATACAGTTCATGGCCTAATGAAATTCATGCTGTGACTCTTTGTATTTTTTATGAGATATTGGATTGTTTTTATAAGTGAGTTGTGTAGTTTACATGTATAAAGAACATACCATTATTCCAGTGTTTTTAACATTTCAACATGAATAAAAAAAAGAATTTTTGCTTATCCGAAGAGTACTGTTGTCGGTTGCCTTTATTAATTTTGATACTTAAAAAATTATTGGCAAAGTTAAACTAAATGTCAGATTTTAAATAAATATCTGCTCTTAATGTTGGGTGTGATAGTACATTTTATATACTTTTATGTTCACATACATAATAAACTCATAGCACAGTTCAATTGATGAAGCTATTGTAACAAACCAATGAAAGTGATTTTCCTGAGAGTTAATTACTTAAATTATAACATTTTTTGCTTTAATAAAATATGTGCATATAAATTACTGTCCCTTTGTTGTATGAAATGAAATACTAGTAATATAAAATTTTAAGTTATGTTTCAAGTGGGTCAACCAGAAATATTAGTTTATACCATTAATATTTAACATGTAATTTATAAAATACAATTTGTCTGTGGTTTTCTACTATACAGACAAGTATTTATCACTTTGATTGGCTAATCCTACTAGAATAAAAGGCCTATCAGGTGAGGCTCTTGCCGTATTTTGTAGTTGAAAACTACTACACCCAGCATATGTGTACAGAGTACTCTGAAGAAAGGCAACATGGAACTTTGTGATAAGAAAATGAAATTCAGTAGATATTTCTTCACTCTGCATTTTGTTAACACTATTCAAATCTTAGCTACTGGTGATTTATGTCAGTTGACAGGTACTATAGGTAACTTATAACACAGAATTTGTCTATAATTTTTCTACTGTACAGGCACAGTTTAACGATTAAAGAAATTGCTGCAACCAATTATATACAATATTTTAAAGGTAGTATGCATAAAGATGCATCTTGTCACAGTGCAGGGTGTGGATACAGTCAAAATAAAAATTTCTTTATGTGTTCTTTAATTAAATCTCATTTGATTGTTCGGTTAGCCTACTACCTACAAAAACCATGTGAAGTTGTACTTATGTACTGATGGGGTACATATGAACCCCATTTCTTTGAAAAAATATTTTCTCAACTATTTATGCACCAAAGTCTTTTGGATTATAAGGTCCATAATAACATACGAGTTACACAAAAATTTCAATAAAAGTGCCATCAATATTGTTATTAACTCCATTAATTATATCTTAGTTCTTTCACAGAGTGTTGTAACAGACACAAGCATAATATTACTAATAAGATGCAATATTTGGGCTCAAAGGGAATGAAAATAATTCAGTAATTTGAGAGTTAAAAACACACATATAGAAATCAGAACTACTATAACACTAATATATACTACAAATGTGTGTATATAGATTAGAAAACACACAAGAGGTAAGTATTTTTCCAAAAAATAACCAATTTTACCCATAATTGAGGCTCATAAAATTCTAATTTTTCACTGATCACAATAGTTAATACACAATTTCCATTTCCCTTTTTTCTTTACTTTTCTTTATATGCTTTTCCATGATTCAAAAAATCCTTTCCTATTTTTCCAAATTTCAGATTTATCCCGATACCTTTTGGACATTTGTGTAAAAGAATATTTACCCCCTTCAGACAAAGATAAATAAAACAATATAACATAATGATATCATTCCTAAGGAGTTCCACTTCAAGTGGCCTTCTTGGATGATAAATAGAGAGATTAGATGTTTTTAAAGCTTCTATATAACATAGAGAACAGTTAGTTTAAATAACAGCAGCAATACAGTGACCTGTTACACAAACACTGAGCAATTCATATTTTTAGAATATATATAAAAAAATCACTATATCATACATAAAAAACTATTCCAACAAATTAAGTATGCATATGTATAGAAAAAAGGCAGATAATTATATGAACAATATAAAACATTTTAATATAAAGCTTTCAATTTCTCTTAACATTGTAAATAAAGTAAGGAAGATAAAATTATATTAATTATGCATTTAAAAAATAAGCTTTATTTCTCAGAAAAAAGCATTATCATGCCTCTTGAACATTTTCTGAAATAGGTTCAATAGAGAAAAGAAACAAAATAAATAAAGTACCAATATACAATTTTTACAATATTAATATTTCAGAACATACACAAGTTATCATTTTTGCAGGGTTTTACATTGAAAATATTTTTGTCATCGTGCTTCACACTTGTGTTTTGTTTTTCAAATAGTTCATTTGCTGCTGAGCAGCAAAAGTAAACTTACTTCACACTAAATCATGATAATCACAATGATTGAAGACCACAGATATTTTAATATTTAAAATATGACAATAATAATCGTTCACTGGATATCTAGGACTTGTAGAACAAAAAAAAAAAGGTGCTTGCTAAAAATATATTTTTATGCTATGTATCAATATACAACACATCATTTAGGCTTTGTTTGAGTATTAAAAGATACTGAATCTCACTCCAACTTGAAATGTATCAATAAATCTAATTTCTTCTACACTTTGATAAATTGTGTATTTTACACAGACTATATAGACAGCAATTCTCATTTTCAAAACCATAAATATTAGTGCATTTTGAAAAAGAAGAAACTATCAAATGTAATTGTGTAGTCCTATAATTTTAGAATTAGGGATTGGTATAATTGTTTTAGTTTAAAAAGACTAAGTACTGAAAATTATTATTAAAAAACAAAGATTTTCAATCGCTGCATACATATTAGGCATATAAACCATCTAATATTATACACTTATGTACTGTTGTTCACAATACTAAGAAAGCTCTCAAAACAAAAAGAAATAGATAAATCACAAAATAAGAAATCATTAAGCTTTTGAAATGTGTGTGTTCCACCTTTATGGATAAAGGAGAAAAGAGTGCCATTTGAAAAGGCTTAGGTTGTAGGGTCCCTTGGTTTGTGACTTGCATATTTAAATGTCTGAAAGAGTTAAATCAGGAAAGTAGGAACAATGATTTTAAAATGTGAAAGCTCCACTTCCTCTAATTGGAAGTTGTTTATCAAAGGTATAATTTGATACCTTAGCACCTTTTTTTGACGTACAATTCAAAAGTAATGATAAAATATCTAACTTAACCACACACAAAGCAATATTGATCAACAATTCTCTGAAGTCCTAAATTTACAACTGAAGATGGAGCTTTTACGATCATGTATCATTAAAATAAGTAAAAATGTGATTTTGACCATCACCAGAAAAGCCAGATCAAAATACTATGCACATGTCACACGCATAGGAACATTTGACAAAATCAATGAAAAATTTGAAACAATGTTAAAAACAAACATACTGTAAACATGTCAGCTCAAAGTTAATTGGGTTAGAAAAAGTGTAACATTTAAACAAAAAATTTCATATGGAATTTTATGCTGGTAACTTTAACACATGCCACTTTTCACATTAGACGAGTGTGTTCTCACTAAAAGAGATAACAGTACACATTTTTATATAACGAAAAATATCCCTTGCCTCTTATATTGATACCAACTCAATGACATGGTTAAAATATTGTGTTATCCTATCCATATACTATATAGGATTTGAAATAAAACTTTAAATCTTAAGACTTAGTTCATATAATGAAGATAAAACCTCATGTCTAAAACCATATTCACTACTAAGAATCAGAATGTAATAAAATGATGTTTAATCAAGAATTTGTTATTTTTGTATACTATATATACTTTAGCACATTTTTTTATATCTTATTTCCAAGTAAACTATACAAATTATATATATATTTTTTTTTCTCCTACCCCTTTTTGTACATTTGTTATCACAACATCAAACACAGTAGTTAAGAAAACTAGCTGATCAATTTCAGATATATAACCACCTATTTAAAAAAAATCATAGTATTCAAATGATAGATAGTTATCAAAATATATTGTACCCTCATCTAAGGTAAAAAGACAATTACATTTAGTCAAATTAACCTTTTTCACAAAGAAAATTTGATACACAAAGTAAAGTTCTAAGTAGCAAACCATTTGCTGTTAAAAACTTAGAAGTGGTCTATTATATTTCATGTTGATTAGTGTTACATGACATTTGAATCGTATATATCTATGCAGGCTTCAACATTTCTTTGAAGTTTGTTTTCATTACAAATCCTTAATAATAAAACAAACAAACTCAATGTACCATGCAGAAAGCAAATAAGACTTATATTTACTGTTTAATGTGAAAACTGATCAAACAAGATGCTTCACATACCACAAGTAAACTGATGACATTGCCATATTAACTATGTACTCAGAACACTTTGATTAATTAAAAGTGGAAGTTTCATTGATAAAATAGTGGAGGATAATTGGCACTGTGCATAATAATTGCATACACGGTGATCGATTATGGCATTAATGTTGTAGTAAGAGCTCTTCTAAACACATCCCATTGTCGTCCTACTCGGGTACACATTTTCTATCAGAAAGGCAAAGCAGAGCTTCTTTTACACATTTGCAGTGTTTCACACAACCTCTTCCACTTCTAATCCATTCATCTGCACTCTGGGAATCCTCTGGTACAGTTATCCATATCAAGTGAATATTACATTATCATCACTTTGCCATCTCCACAACCTTAATTCATCAGAAGGTCTGGCTGTCATAAACATGATCACCATGAAACACTGAATGATGACAATGCTGTACAAGGACTGTTTTCTTAGAGGGTAGCTTCTCTGTAGATTGTCCTTTCTTTGCGAACAATGCCTATCTTCACTGATCAATGTTAGCGTTGTCATAGAGTAGTATGACATATCATTCAAGTAACCCCATATATTACTAAGGTATTTCTCAAGCACTTTAGAGCTCTTTAAACATTTGTTACTTATTCCATGGGGATCACGATTTACCATGCCTTTTGTTTGCCATGTCAGAAAAAGAAAGACAAAATCATTAAATGCATGGCAAGAATAAATACTTCACATTTGTCAGAACCAAGAGCTCTCAATAAGTCATGTGTTACAAAAAGAAAATCGTAAGTTTTTTAAACAACAAGTTCCATCTATAATTCGTTCAAATGATCAAGTCACTTGGAAAATGAAACTACCAATGCCATGGTACTCTATCTAAAATGTAAATCGTTCCCATTCA